AGGGCAGACATTAGAAAGCCAATGTCAAATTCTGTTTCTGTGCACTAGAGTAGTGAGGAGTTTGCTATACCTTCTTCTGCAATTGAAATTGATTTCAGTACTTGGTATTACTAGAGAGGAAAATACAGCCATTTATTTTCTGGCACATTCCCATGGCATAGTCTTCCCTTTAAGATGAGATGCAGTTCAGATTCACAAATTTTAGTCTCCAGGAAAAAGAGAAAGGTGGCTGTGGTTGACAAGTGTCTTTGTGGGCAGGGTATTTAGCTGACTGAAGTGGCCATGAGAGAAAGTTATTTTGGGCACTGTCAGGGTTATCTTCAAACAGAACTGGGAAATAAATTTCATTTTTGGACACCCCAGTCTCTAGCTTTGTTCTTCACGGTGTGCATCTCTATCTCCCCTCTGCACTGACCTTGAAAAAAACATGCTCTTCATGTTCTCAGGAGATGAATCTCCCAATAGTCTTCATCTCCAAGTCAACTTGGAACTCATTCACATCAAGGTGAATGTGATTACTAATGATTAGTATCTTACTTCTTCTATAAACTAATTAGGAATTAAAAATAATGCATAAGACCTCAGTGGAGAAAATTTTGAAACACTATCAAAGTGTATAAAAGAAGATCTTAAGTAGTAGAGAGGCAGAAAATGCTCTTGGGAAGAATGAATTCATATTATAAAGATGTTAATTCTCCTCAAATTAATCTTTAAATTGAATGAGAGCTGAATGAAAGTTTCTGCTGCATTTTCCCAGAAACTTGGCAAACTTATTATAAATTTATGTAGAATATATATGAAAGCCCAAGAACAGCTAAGTCAGCCCTGAAAAAGCAGAGCAAAGAGGGTAAACTTTCCTGTCCAGACACAAAGACAATCCTCGGTAAGAAAAGTATCATGGACTTGGCTTGAGAATGGTAAGAAGAAAAATAAATACACCGATGCAACAAAAGAGAGAACTCGGAGATAGCTATTCATACACGGGAAAATCACATATGTTAAAGGACTCATTGTTTGATAAATTGTGTTGGGAAAACTGTTTGGCTGTGTGAAGAAAATAAAACAGGCTTCCTACTTTCCGTCATATACAAAAAGGCATTAAAGATGTGGGTGTGAAAGGCCAAGCCATACAGTAAGTAAAAGGTAGCAGAACATCTTTGTGACCTAGTGATAGTGTTTTTTTTAAAAAGCCTTGAAAGTGTAAACATAAAATGAAAGTAATGTTTTACATTATATCCAAATTAAGTTTTCTGCCCAACAAAGGGCAACTATACAAAGTTAAAGTTTGTTATGCTTACGATCTAAAAGAGTAATTTTTTATATTGTTGTTCAACTATAGTTGTTTCCATTTCTCCCCACCACTCATCTCTGACCCCAGCCATCCCCAACTCCCTCTGCTGATCCCGCCCCCCCTTGGTTTCATCCATGTGCCCTTTATACAAGTTTCTGAAAACGCTTCTCCCTTCCCCCCCATTATCCCCTCCCACCTCCCCTCTTCTTACTCTCAGTTTGTTCTTAACTTCAGTGTCTCTGGTTATATTTTGCTTGCTTGTTTGTTTTGCTGATTAGGTTCTGCTTATAGGTGAGATCATATGGTAAAGAAAGTAATTTATAAAATTTATAGGTCATTCTTATAAAGCCAATAACAAAAATAACAGTAACAATAACAGACCGAAGTCCACGAGAAGAATGGGCAGCCGATGTGAACAACTGATTCATAGAAAGGGAAAGCCCAAGTGGCTACAAGTGTATGAAGAAAAATAAAAATTAAAGCAAAAATAAGATACCATTTTATATCTCAGAAAGCCAGCAAAATTAAAGCTGGATAATATCACGTGTGAGTTACAATGTAAAAAAACAGGGAGCTTTCTTCACTGATATGAGAGTATACCCATGCCTCCTTTCTAGAGAGTGACCTGGCAGTATCTAGTAAAAGTAAGTGAACTTATTCCTATGACTCAGGGACCTAATATTCCAGAGATATTAAAAAATAGAATCAAATAACTTGCATGAGGTTTCTTAGTGTTGCAATGCCTGTGGAGTGAGCAGTTGGAGGGGGTTTAGGTGCTACCAAGGGGAAAACAGATATGCAGTGGAATGCCATATTAGAAAGAGGAGCTATAGGTAGCAACATGGATAGATTATAAGACCTCAGTGCCAAATGAACGATTAAGAGAACCATTCCTATAAAATAAAAATGCCTACATGTACTAAAACAACACTTCATGTTTTACAGGGATGCACACATATTCAGAAAGGTATATCGAGTACATTAGAGCAGCCACTGTGATAGGCGTAGAGGTGGTGGTGGGTATTTGGTGCAGAGGGAATGAGAGTAATGAGGGTAACATCAAATACAGAAGAGACAGGCAGCTTGTATGGAACAATGATCACATGTGTTGTACTGAGGAGTGTAAAGACTAAAAAACATTTTACCTGAGAGACTTAAGGACCTGCTTTTTCTAGAGAGATGTGTACTTCAGAAGGAAGTATTGTGGATTTCCAAGCACTGGCTAACAAATTGGGAAATAGTTTTATCATGTAGTCAGTGAATATTTATTCATTATCTGCTGTGTGCCAGACACTGTTCTGGATAGTAGAGCTAATATAGTGAATGAGACAGAATGGCCTATCTTCTGGTTGGCTATTCTGCTTAGTCCTTCCTGGCATTAGACCAGGTATATTGTTGTGTATATTAAAGACCAATCTTGGGTAAAGAAAGTCTGGGGACTGGGAGAATGACTCTGGGGTTGCCCTTTACTTGAGGTGGCTTCTGGGAGAGACTTGAAAATTCTTAAGGAAACAACAAGAAAAAGCTGGTTATGACCTGAAGTTATTTAGCACATGTATGTCTCCAGGTATTTTTTCACAGGATCCATTTTATTCTCTATCTATAATCTCTCTTAATAACAAATGTTTTTCAGTCCTTGGATGACTGTTCACAAATACACGTTAGTGGGTTTTGGTCAAGCTCACTAAAACCTAAATCTTGACTCCATTAATACTGCCTTATTAATGGTAGTCCATCAGGGAGATACAATGGCTAATAGACATGTAGCTGCTAGTAAAGACTGGTTTACAATTTTCTGGCATTCTACTTTTGCTTCACAGCTATTTATTACCTATTCAGGAGTAATAATGAAGCTGGCAAGTAGTACTGGGTCAAACCCCAACTTTAGAAGTGTTACTGTAAAGGCAGTCTCAAAATTACCTTCAGGCCTGTTCCCAAAGATATTTAGTAAATTACTTAATTTCACAGAACTATTTATCTCTTCATTCAAATGTCCCTGTTGAGATGTCCCTATGCGTGTAGCATTGTTCTAAGATTGGAGATACAAAGATGAAAGAGACAGATTTTTCCCTCAAAAGCATATAATTTAATGATGTCAAAACTTATTTTCCCATGGGAGAAAAAGTATGTATGCTTATCAGATTCCCAGGCAAACCAACAAAAACCTCTTTAGTATATAGACTAGCTTAACTCAAGTATTAATATAATTACACAGAGTTCTGGACAAAAATGGTCATATCTTATATAAATGGGAAATTGGATAAAAAAGTTTCCTCATCTTGGGCTCATGAACGGCCCCAAGAAAATGTTTGGAACAGGTTTGGTTTTTATGTACCCTTCCCTACCCTTCCCTTTTGCATCATTTTCTGAAGGCCACCTTCCTAAACGCTGTGTCCTCACACTGTTCTCATGCTTCTCTGTGGCTCCTCACTTGGATCTGTGCCATCTCACGAAATGCTCAAGGTTCTTCAATTACTCCCTTTCCTTCTTCCGCTCTTCAGCTCTCCCAATTTTTGGCAGTTGTGAGGAGAGAAATCTGATTGAACTAATTTGTACAAATTCGCATTCTTTCTAGCAATAGATCAGTGCAATTTCCCCCTCCTTCCACCCCTCGGGATGGTTTCCAGTCTAGATTTCAGGTGTTACATAGAAGTCAATGTATTTTTGATAACTTGAAGTTAAAATGTAGCCACTATATTGTCAAAGCCTCCTCTTCAGATATATATATACACACACACTAAAAATTGTTATAAGATTTTGGAAGTATTATTTTAAGATTTGTGTAGTATTTAGAATGAGTAAAACTTCAAGATAAACTGCTACATCTCTCTATTCTTTAAATGCTTGTATGTTAAGAGAAATGATCATAAGATTGTTCAACATTAATATCTCCAAACTTAAGCTGATGTTGATTTTAATGAAATTAAAATAATTTAAGATATATTTGCAATTATACTATAATTTTTAGGATTACTTAAATAAAAGAACGGGAGGAAAATGGTGCTTAGATTAACCAACACTTTTATTTTTAGAATGTAAGTCTTCTTCAGTATCTAACACATGAAAAATCAGATACAATTATTTTTAAAAATTGAACGATCTCCACGATGTCATTACTGTTTGTTTTAAAGCAGAGGATGTAGGACACAGGTCCTAATTTCTGACCACCTCTAATGAGATAAGAATCTATGAGCCCGTGACCAAAATGCATACTCAGTTACCGTAGGAAATCAAAAAATATTACACTAAACCTGGAATCTATAAAGACAAAGCAATCGGTTTCTTTGGAAAATATGTCAGGCTTAGAAAGTTTCTAGGATTTACCTATAAAAACACCCTCTTGGACCTAACAGTGACGTCTTAGGGAAACACTTGCATATCAAGGTGGGAAGGATAGGAGGCGGCGTTCTGTGGGCTCCTACAGTGGTTAGGTAGTTCTCAGAAGACAGCACTGGAAATTAGATAATTGCTGATGTCATATTTTTACATTAAAAAAATTTGGAGTCCTAGGGCTATAAAAGCAGCAGCTTATACCTTTGCATCACAAGAAAAACCATTGAAACAGGTAAGTGTTATGGCAAACTTTGTACGATTGGTTTGTTTGTTGTGATACTTTTTGACACTTATTTTTTTTCTCTGTATGTTCTTGCTTTGTGATTCTAGGTTCTTCTACCCTAGCTGCTGATTGCTCAAGTTGGCATTGTCTGTAATGGCCACCCTGCAGAAATCTGCAAGCTTTTCCCTTATGGGGACTCTGGCTGCCAGCTGCTTTCTTCTCATTGCCCTGTCAGTGCGGGAAGGAGCAGCTGTGCCCATCAGGTCTCACTGCAGGCTTGACAAGTCCAACTTCCAGCGGCCATACATCACCAACCACACCTTCATGTTGGCTAATGAGGTACTCATCTCAATCTCTCTCTTTCAAATCTTATCCTCTTGGAACCCAAATAGTTCTTAAATTTTTCTGCAGAACACATCTGAGATCTTTAAGAACCCAGCACTTATCTCTACTGGTAGGTTAGAGACCATTTTCTGCCTGTTCATAGACTCTGGGGGTTAAACTTTGTAAGAAGACCTTACATCTTGGCCTTTAAAATGTGTACATTGAGTTTTACTCCAGAAGAAGCCATGTAGTAGACCATCTGACTATTCATTTTCTCTTTACTCTTCTGTGCATTATTTTAGACTCATATGGACATCCAATTCTTTCCTCAGTCTTCATGGGGCTGCTATTGGGAGAGAAGATAAAGTACATCTCTACTTACGGACTTTCCTTCTATGTCCTCGATGTGCAATCATTTAGTTCTTTCTTCTCTTCCAGGCTAGTTTGGCAGATAACAACACAGATGTTCGTCTCATTGGAGAGAAGCTGTTCCATGGAGTCAATGTAAGCCATCGTGGTGATTAGCAGGGCAGTGTGCCATCCACGGTTATTTGAAGCAGTGGCGATGACGGTTTGGGTCTTCTGGATGTGCCCTTATATGACCCCTGCTGTTGTTTCGCTTTTGCCTGCAGATGAGCGATCGCTGCTATCTGATGAAGCAGGTGCTGAACTTTACTGTTGAAGAAGTGCTACTCCCCCAGTCTGATAGATTCCAGCCCTACATGCAGGAGGTGGTGTCCTTCCTGGCCAGACTCAGCCATGAGCTAAACCAGTGTGTAAGTTCTTCTCCCAGCCTAAGTTCACCCACTCCTAGTTACCTGCCTTTCCTCCTTCTTCCATTTAGAGCTTTTTACCCCTCCTTCTCATTGCCCCCACCCATGGTGTGAGTAAGAGGTGCCTCAGCAACACTAATATAAGAGTCATTTGTAATCAGAGAGTATTTGTATTTGCTGTAATTGAGTCACATTTTGAGTTTACGGTGATAGATGGGATCTGAAAGACAAGTGCTTGGAAAGCTCATTTGTCCCTAGGGAAAAGCAACACAGGGTATATGAGATGAGAAAAGTGTTGGGAGCTGTAGGGAAAAATGCCTAGGAGTGGAAATGGAGCCCCGAGTATACACTGATGAAGGGAAAGGATGGGAAAGAGAGAGAGAGAGGGGAATGGGAAGCTTTAATGTTCCAGCGTGGGTGAGTGAACACTCCTGCCCTTTGGCTGTCATAGGAGGTAACGAAATCAGAGGCATGTGTATTGGATGCCCCTAAACATTTAAAACTATGATGAAAGTTTGAGGGAAGTGGGAAGAGCAAAGGGGACCTAGTACTTCTTGAGGAAGACCTACTGTTCACATGACATATTTTATGTACCTTTCTTGTTCTGAGCATGTGCTTTGGATTGAGGTACAGTTATGGTTTTAATCTTAACAGAATTTGCATAAACCACTCCACCGTTTCCACAAACTTAAACCTCAGTAAGCATTCCCCAAAACGAAGAGAGGTCCCATATGAGGGAAGGATTTTGGTGTCCAAGGGAATTCAAGAGCTCGGAAAATTTAGGTCACTGGTGAAATCTAGGTCACTGTGGGCAAAAATGCTGAGAACTTTACTTCCAGATGAATTGTAACATACTGCAGTAAGGGACACTGAGGTTCATAAGGTGTCAGTACAACAATGTTCAAATAACTCCTCTGGTTTTCATTTTGTAGCACATTGAGCATGATGACCAGCATATTCGCAGAAATGTGCAACAGCTGAAGGACACAGTGAAAAAGGTACTACTAATAATTATCAATGCTGAATCATAAAATAAGAGAGACAAATGTTGTTTCTTTCTTTTCTCTCTTTGACCCCCTCAAATTGTGATTTTTTACTTGATTATTCTACCATTAGGTTGATCATTTAGGTGTATAAGCATAGAGATATGTCTATATATTTATAAATCACTTTCCAAATTTTGTAAGCTATAGAATTCCAGAGCTGTCTGGGAAGTTGGGTCATCTCATCTCCTAAATCCCCGTTCTGGGGATAGCCAGTGGCAGAGCCAGGGCTAGGGCTCAGTCCTCCAGAATCCCATCCAGACTAGTTCTCTTTCAGCAGCAGGAAGTGTCAGTTTCAGCATCATTGGTTCTTAGGGAAACTTAAGATCCTTACAGTCTATGTCATCAAAAAAAAAAACAACACTTGTTTAAAAACAGAAAAGGGCCTAGGGGACAAATATATTTGAAGTGACTTTCGAAGCCATTAATTTGATGATTTAAAACTTGAAGAGATAAACCCAGAATAATCATAACAAAAGAGCTTGACTTGAATACTGGCTAAATTTCTGGAATGATTGATACTTATATTTAATTATCATAATTTAATACCGAACAGCTACTGATTTGAATTTAAAAGCAAGAGCGAATAACCGTCAATTTTCTTTATACAATTTCAAATAGAATAAAAATGTTAGTCATAGATTTATTATAGTAACATGAAAGTTTGAACTGGAAATCTTTTCCTCCTCTGCCCCTTTCTCTTCCTTTCCAGTCTACTCCCCACTGCAATCAACCCTTAGGTAGATAATGGGCAGCTATCTGGTGTAAGCTAGTGTATATTTCTACAGTGAGTGATACCGTCATGTGGTCTGTTTGGGGAAAAGAACAACTGTAGAAGGCTCAGACTAGCAATTGTGAGTCATCCAAAAACTAGAGGAATGATTAGTGGCAGCGAAAGTGATGCTCTTGCAAGCAGGTACAATTAATCCTCAGAGGCATGAAGGCTTTAGCTAATAAAATATTCAGCAACAAGCATAATCACAAATCCCCCTTTTTTTCCATCTTGTTTTCTATAAAACGTATTTCATCCTGAGCATGATTTAACAAGCATAGTGGGTTCTTCCTTTGTAGTTTTTCACAGTGAGGCTTGATTCTCTTGTCATAGAACCATTACTTAGACTTGAAGGCCTTGTATTGGCATGCCATAGCTAAGACATGCTTTACCCTTCTGGTGTGAACATCTCTGATGTCCCTGATGTTGGTTTACTTTGTGGTCCTTAGGAAAGTGAAGTGTGAGAGAGAAAAATCTGATGGTGATCTGTGTAAGAACAGAGATTTTAAAGCTTTTACCCCATTTGAGAAAATCAGCATCCACATGTGCAATACATTGCCACGTGGGAGAGTGGTGTTGCTTTTTTACCCTGTCACTCCACAGGGCATGGGCAGAAGAGGGGAAGGTTGTTCAGAGAAAGCACAATGTAAGGAAAAACTGGTCAGTGCTGCCTGAAATGGGAGGGAAATCTTGGGGGTTATGCATTTCCTATCACTGGAGGAGAAAGCAGAGAGCAAACTGCAGTAGAATGGATGATAAGACAGTAGGGCAAGATAAACTTTAAATTTTTCTACACAAATATCCCTAGGCATTGTGGGAACGTGGGAAGGTGAAATGGTGGAAGAAAGCGGGAAGAGAAAGGAGAGCAAAGTATAGAGGACAATAGTGACTCATGGCTTTCTTCAGATAATCTAGAGTGAATTTGATAGAGTAGATGAATTTTAGAAGAGGATGCCTTGGACTTGAATTTGGGTTCTCTCTTCCACTGGGTTTGAATGCTTCATTCATCTACATCCTACTTGGAAGAAGAAGAAGAAGAAAGAAGGAATGCTAGAATCTATATTTGATTTTCTACTAATTAAAGCAACTAAGTAGGATTTGTTTGGTATTTTCACAAAAGTGAAACTCTGTTTGTTTTGTCAAAGAAGATGAGGACAGAAAAAGCCCATGTGTATTGGTAAATGTGTAGTTTTGATCCAAGGCCATTTTTATGAATAGTTAGTGGGCCATAGGCAGTCAGGGGATTATGGGGTAGGCCACAAAAGCATAATGGGTAGCACTCTGGGTCCCCCAGCACGGTCTCCATCTGTTTGCTCTGGTTAAGCAGTGGTTTTAAACAGCTTCGTTAGAGTGAGATTCAACAGAGACTGATGCCTCCTGGTGCCCTCTCAGTTCAGATAGTCATAATTTAAGTTCCTTGGCAAATCATTATATTTTTGCTAAAGGGCGTTGCCATTAATCTTTCACAAAAGGCTAAAATTTGATTTCTCTCTCAGCAACCTAACCATGTAATCTTTTTCTAATTTGTCCCTCTTTTTAAAACATGTGTAAATACTCAAATATTTGTGTTTTCTTATTTTCACAGCTTGGAGAGAGTGGCAAAATTAAAGCAATTGGAGAACTAAATTTGCTGTTTATGTTCCTGAAAAATGCCTGCGTTTGACCACAGCAAAGCTGGAAAAGTGGATAATAACCCTTCTTGCTGTTGGGAATAACAATAAGAGCCCCAGACATTTTTTAAAAGGAAAATGGGAAAACAAACTCCACAATTATGGGTAGATTCTAAATAAATAAGCCCCTGCTTAGCTTAAGAAAAAGACAACGTCACTTGTGTCCATAAGGCTAGAAGGGAGCCCTTGCAAGCATGAGATTTACTGCTAATGTTTTATTGTAGTAGACATTTTATGCACAGAAATTTATTTTTAAGCAATTGTCTATTCTTACAAAATTTACTTCCCATTCCTTTTGGAAAAAAGAGACCTAAATAACTTTCTTTTTATAATTAGTACCTATTTTGATGAATTTATTTATTGTTATAAGTACACATTTTATTTATATCATTTTACCATATGGATTTATTTATAGAATTGTGATATTGCTACTTAAGTATAAGGCTAATATTAATATTTATGACAATAATTATGGCTCTATAATATGTCTATTTAAACTCAATAAACACTTTAATATCTTAAACTTTGTGGCTTTGTCATTTTTCCTTTAATATTATTCATGTCATCACCATCCTCCTCCTCCTCTTCCACATCTTCTTCGTCATCATGTAACCATTTTCAATTGCTTAATGAGTCAAGAACTTCATATAATCGACTTTGCTCTTGACTTGCAGCAAATGAGATGACTATTAGTACTACCTCATTTTATAGATAAGAAAACTGAATCAGAGCCATGTTAAAAACATTGTGTAAACATGAGTAGTTGATTCTTACTGAGCTTGGGTTATCTGATTCCGGGGCTCTTTGCTATATCGTTGATATAGATTTATTATATTGATTCAGTGTGTGATTCTGAAATACAAAGGTAGAAATGAAAAAGAATCCACCTGCAGCATTAGCAATTTGTGGATAAAAGGAAGGAGTGATGCTATTGGAGAAGAACTACATGGAGCCTCTATTGCTGCAGGTGAACTGTTTTAGTTCTAGTTCAAACCTATTAAGGGGAGCACTTCCCAGTTTTTCCAGTGAATCAGGAAATGAAGGGGAAACTTAATGAGTTGAGGGAGTCTATCTGCTAGTGGAGTTTAGAACACATAGAGAAGTCTTGTGTGTTTAAGGTGATCAAGAGATTATGAAGTACACTGAAGAGAGAGTGAAAGCTGTACATCTTCAAACTTTGTACAGTGGTACAAAGAGAGTGAAGAGGTAGAGATGCAGGTTGAGTAGTTCTGCTGAGAATATTGAACAGATGACACCAGCATTGAAGAATGTATAGGTCTTTCTGTAGAAAGTGAAAGTCAGTTGTCAGTTATCTAAAGTATTTTCTTTAAAAAAATCAGGAACCCTGCGCTTATCCTTCAGGTCATTCACCAGTTGTTTGCCAAGTTCCTGTGGAAGTAAGACAAACCTGGTGGTAATAGGTGAGCATGTATACAATTTGTAAGTTCACTTGAAGATAAAGCAGGACTAATACTTTTGCGCATGCTCTCTGAACGCTGAGATGTACCAGAGCTAAGCTTCAGGGATGATATAATTTTAATTACTTCTGGGTTAAATTGGGGTTTAGGACTCTTTCCTCTTTTCTTCCAAATGAGTTTCAGTGTAATGCCTTGAGCAAAATTTGGCATTGTACTTGTTTTTGACAAATTTTTAGAAATGAAACCATTAACGGAAGAATACTCTTAAATTATATTTATGAGAGCAAAGAGTCTGAAACACAGAGATTTAAACATTCTGAATGGGGATAAACATAAGGCATGAGGTGCCAAGATCTTCTTCAGTTCTGGAGGGCAGTGCTGACAAGCTGGCAGCTCTATGAGATCGTCCCAATTCCTTGCAGGGGGTCTTGACATCATCATTGACACTTGTTGTAGCTTTTTTTTCATCAGCCACTGTGGCTAGCATTAGGCTGGTGCTGCCAGCATTGCTCATGTTCTTGCCGTTACCAGAGGACTTGGGTGTCTCCTCTCCCAGTAGCAGATGGCAGCACCCAGGTCTTCAAGAAAACTAACCTATGAGTCTGTGTGAGAAACAGCACCCTGAGATACTAAGGGTAACTTAGGACTGATGAGAAACCACTGGAGGGTTTCAACCATGGGAAAGACTCGATATGACTCATGTTCTATAAAGGTCACTGTGGCTGCTGGATAGCGAGTAGGTCTAACCGTGTGTGTTTGTGCCTGTAGTGGGGTGGGGTGGTAGGGACAGAAGCAAGGCCAGAGTGGTTGTCCAGAGAGGGAGGATGATGTACTGGAGAAATGGGAGTTGAGTCAGAGAAACTTGGTGTGTGAACTGTGACACTCAGCTTGGCCTGCCTGGGAAATAAGAGCTGTGTATGGAGCGTACGCACTAGCAGGAAAAGTGATCCTTTAGTTTACCTTCTGGTCCTTCATTTACACTCTATTATAACTAGAATGCAGTGCTTCATGTGGGGCTTAAAGACAGAGAGGGGATTTTGTTCTGAAAAGAAGTTAAGATTTTAAGATCTGAGTGGAGATACTTCTATTAGAAGAGGAGAATGCTGGGGTGCTGGGATGGAAAGCTGAGTCCTCTTGTCTCAGAGGCAACCACAGCTATAGTAATTTTATCTTTTTCATCTCATTTCAAGGAATGATCACTTTTGAAAAACAAGTGAAGGAGGCTGAGGTGACTGACCCTGATCTCCAAGAGGAAATTGCATTACTGCTACACCATGAGGCTAGGTAGACCGGGATGGGACCAGGAAATTTGCTGGATTGCCTTGTCAGTTTGCTCAACAGTCTCATTACAGAAAACTGCATCAACCCCCAAAAGACAGGATCATGAAGACTTCCATTTTCATAGGAATGAGGGTTTAAATCACCTTATCGGGTAATGAATTTTATGCAATGGAGGTGTAGGGAGAGGGTAAAGGGAAAACAGAATGGACAGTCAAAGAATTAATTTGCAATTATTAATTTAGGCTCTGTAAACAGCTATAAAAATAGGAACTATAGCAGATATAGTTTCTGCTAATAAATTATTTGTCCTGTTTTCTCCTCCTCCCTTCTCTTGTGGGGGCTGATATTTTAGCTTTCTGGCGGGTATACAACCATATTGACATCATCCTACAATGATACAGTAGTTGATGAGATTCTAAGTATTTGCTGTGTAGAAGACCACTTTTTTTTTCATCTGAACAAAGGCAACAGTGGCAGCTGAAGACCAAAATGTTGGGTTGTCCCAATCTGGCCTTCTGGATCCATCCACTGTTCTTTCTGATTCCACTTTGTGCCCGGAGAGGCTGATATGTTGAGTTGTCCAATATATGTGCTTCCTTTCCGTTTGTTTGTTTGTTTGTTTGTTTTTTAAATCACATTTGACAAGTGGGTAAATTAGCAGGGGTTTGGAGAGGGAAAATAAGGTTCGAGTATTTACTACTGTGGAACCCTCCTGCCAGATTGCCATGCAGGTCAGTTGCATACTTCTACCAAAAGCTCCTTGTGGATGACTCTCTTTCATATAGTTCTCTTTCCTGGTTCTGGAAATTTCTCTCAATCCTGTTTCCTCAGAGGCTTACATCTATTTTTAGCTTCAGACATGGTACTATTTCTTGGAGGGTTTCTTAAATTCTTTCCACACCTTAAAAAAAATCAATCCCATAAACTCTTCTCCCTTACCCAGTTTGGGTGTAATGAATGTTTTCTGCTGGGATTCTGATGCATGCATCTCCTTTCTCACTTCTGTTTTCCCACCAACCCCTGACCAGAAACAGGATGGAGTCGGCTAATTCAGGTGACATCATTTATGGACCATAACTAAAGCCAGTTTTGGACATATCTGAGTTGTATGTAAAATTTTGACCCAGCAATAAAGAGAAATTAGAAACAGTGCTTTCTGATTTCTAAAACTAAAACACATTCTTTGATTTAAAAAGTCCTATTTCTCCAACAGATTTCTCTAGAGGGAAATAGAGGTGCTTATGTCAACACACAGTATCACTGGAAGGAATTAAAGAGCCTCTTCTCCCCTTTGATCCAAGAATCTTGTGTTTCTTTCTGCAGCTCTCTCCCCACTGCAGCCCTTCCAGGCACACGTGGGAATCTTTGTTTCAGTCCGGCTACCCTGCCAGCTGGAGGATGGGAGAATTATTATACCTGAATAATTCTGACGCTTCTAAACCTGCGGTTGCTTTGCTGTGTGTGTCCCTTCTTTCTCCTTTTTTTTTTGTTATAGCTGCAAAGGATATTCAGGGTGACACACATGCTCCTTTTAGTCACAGTCTTCTCCTTATTTCTATGGGGTTTAAGCCTCTGGGTGGTTCTAAGCATCCCATATGTGTGTGTGGGTTAGCCTTAATACCACCTAGAAATCGACCAGTTGTGTCCTTCCTAGCAGGTGCTGTTTATTTTTGAAAACTGTATGCTGTAAGATGCTTTTATGAGCTGTTTTTTCATCTGTGACATTTTCATCTTGCCATCGCTGCAGATGCTATTTTTAGGCACGAGGAGTGCCCAAGAACTTTATGAACTTTACATTGCTGCTTGACTCAAGGCCACCCTAAGAAATTCCAATTCAATTTAGTTCAGTAAGCAACTATTTAGATCTTAGGAAGGCAAGATCCTGTGTAAGGGCTATGAAAATATAAGGTCGCCATAATTTGGGTGCTCTCTGGTGAGGCAAACAGGAAAGCAAGTACTTAGGGCACAAATGAACTGAAATGTGCTGTGGGACAGGCACTGACGAGATGATGATCGTCACTGAGGATGACACCAAAGTTGCATTTGAGCTGATCTTTTGCAGGATAAGAAGAACTACAGCAAGTGCAAATGTTGTCTCCTCTGTGAAATCTCCCCTTTTCCGTCCCTTTTGCAACCTAGGCATAGTTAATTAATGCCTCTGTCTTCAGGACTCTCAAAGCATAATTTACATCTCTCAGCATTTATCACAATGCAGTTTGATGATTGGCCATGTGTTTATCTTGAGAGATTTTGAAGGACATAAACCGTTGTTCATCTTTGTGTTCCAGGACCTA